CAGGCTGCTTTTCAATGCTTTAGAAGCAGGAGGTTAGCAGGTAGTAGCTGTCTATTGTGGGTCGGCGATTAATCAGGTCTGCTGTGGACAGAGAAGCTTAGAGGGATGGCAATAAGATATCTTCAGGAAGTTAGTATTTTTAAGTTTAAAACCCAAAGCTAATGAGGACAAGCGTTGAAGAGCGGCTCATTCATTCACCAGTCAATTAGAAGTCCATCAAATGTTCAATTTGATCAGGTAGAAATAGTTGTTCTGACACAGATAGAACTGTTTTCAACCACTGATGTTGTCTCAACTGTATTGGAAAGTACCACTCCAAATTGGGCAATCCAATCCCATTACCAATCATCCCCAAAGAAATCAACTGGTCTCTGCTAAAGTGTTGTATGAAAATGACAAAAGTAACAGCATACAGCAAGCAGAGGGTTCAATGGTGGTCAAATGTCAGCAATCTGCTATCTCGCACCTGTATTTTTTTTATTTTTTGAATCTCAGGAAAACCAAAGTGGTTGTCAGAATCAGAGAATACAAAGGTCTATTTAAGGGAACTGGTATCAGGAAGGAAAATCTGGTATTGTAACATCTCTTACGACTATCACTGAGTTTGACAACAGCAGGTTTCTGGCAGACACCTTAGTTCACTTTATAGACAACGATTTGTCGTCGGCTACTCCCTCTTCCCTGGCTGTCGTTATTTAAGATATGTGACTGCTATCTATCAAAGTACTTCTTGCATGTGCCAGTATCTAAAAGTTTTCTTGAGGTTGAGGGTGCCTGCGGCATTGGCCATGGATCTCAGTAGAGCTCCAGAAGCCGACAGCTGAAAACAAACATGGTAGGCTGATACCATCTAATCTGTTCAACACCATTATCGTCTAAGATATCACTATATTCCCCTCGTACGCACCCACCTTCCAAAACCAGACTTACTCTTCTCTCCCTCTATACTCTACACCCTTTCAGGGGAAAGCTTGTGCTAAGGCTGAGAGTGAATGTAAGCCATTGTTATGGTGTAACCAGACTCCACAGCAGGTTGTTTGATCCTGTTTTGGGACTGAAAAGCCTTTTTTTTTTTTTTTACTTGAACCACCACATCAGCTGAGAGGGTCAGACAACAGAGTCTATATGTAGAGTCCTAAGTCTGTCTGCTTCTTTTTTCTTTTCATCCATACTTTGCCTCTTTTTGTCAGTCTAAATCTCTCATCCACATTCAGGCTTGAGTCTGTAGCTTTGATTACCATAAAGAGGAGCATGCACTGGTTCACATACTGTACTTACATATGCTTTTTAGGCACACTCTCTCAAGTCGCTCTCAATTTCTCCCCTGATCGCTCTCTCTTTTTCTTTAAACAGGATCTCCTTGTAACTCTTTCCTGGGATTATATTTCTCTCTTGCACCTCCGCCAAGGCAATAGCACGCACATACAAAAAAAAAAAAAACAGATTCAATTGGAAAGCGTTTCAATGACAAAAACCTTTAGTAAATTGTTTTGTTTGCCCACAATACTTTGCTCTGATACATCCAAGAGCTTGGTGTGTTCCTGTTTACCCAACATCATTCCATTATTTACATTACAACATAGAACCATGCAGGCATATTGTCAACTGTTTTGGGCGCTGACTTGCACTTCTGCAGCCTTTGTTACTGTTTAGGCATTGTGTTCTCAATTTATGATCTGTTTGCCGTTCAGCATGGACAATGTACATGCAAATATCCTCGTCCCATTATGCTGGCTGTCTTTGTCTGTCAGCTTTCTTTCCTAAGAGGTATAGGGCTTGGGGGGGGGGGGTGAATGGCGCTGTATGTTTTTGGATTTGTCCAGGCACACACACATGAAGGCACACCCATCTGTGCCTCCAAACCCATTTTAGATGTGAGAAACTGTACCTTCATTTGCATAAGAATAATTGACACTTCAAATTAGCCTTCCAATCAAAGAGGATTCCTTTTTTTTTTTCCTTCAGCATATGTGCAGCCATGGAACACTGCCATGCTGTAGAATATGAAAGGGAGGGCAAAAGAGAGCACGGATGGGAAGGGGACACATCATAAAAGATTAACCCTTTAATTTCCTCACCTCGTAGTGGAGAATTTGATGTGCCCCTTTATTGGACAGATAACTTGAAATACAGTAAAAAATTGACGTTTGTGAGGAAATCAAAAATGAATTCTACTTTAAACTCCAACGGTGGTGCAAAGTGGTTTTTCACATTGACAGGGATTTTACTTTGAATGCTTTAGGTGCTCTGACTGGGTTATGTGCGCGTTTACACATCTATATAATCACCTCAGTGGCATTGGGCTTAGGCCAAGAGAGTGAGTGCTATTAAGTTGAGTGTGTGTGAGCCGGTGTGGATGTGTGTGGATTGACGCTTTGCCCGCATTAAACCATTAAAGCAAGTGCGACGTTGAATTATTGATAATGGCTAATGAAAAGGATCAGTTCAGGATAAACTACAAGCTTAACCAGAGCCCTGAGGGCTTACACACACACACACGAACGAATGCTGGTGTCATTATTTTAATTATTTTTCTTTAGGTTTCTCAGGCTTAAACTGGTACTGGCGTGGTCATTGAAGTCTGTATCTGATACTTCAACCTACCATCCAGGTTGCAGCATACCAGCCAATTCCAGTTAAGAGCAGAGATGGTGCTGCGCTGGGACAGGATAGCTGTTGTGTGCTTGCAGGCCTGTCCTGTTGACAAGCAGAGAGCCTTTTAAAAGCGGAGCCAGTTCTTCTTGGAGAATAAGGCATAGGGATTCAGTTTTGGGGGAAGGGGAGAGAGAAAAGGGTTGAGGGTTTCAGGGAGGAGGGGGAAGAGTTCGGCGCCAGCCCCTCTGAAGCGCTCAGCATCCCCCCTCATACGGGATGGCGGATGTGTCTAGGGGTATCCATGACAACACTGCTGCGTGCCAGGGACATACCACGGCAACATGGCCAAGTAGAGTTGGTGTGTGTGTGTGTGTGTGTGTTTGTGTGTGTGCAAGCAGATCTATTAAGGCCCACATATCTCTGTGACATTAATATTCACACAGCAGGACATGGAAGCTTCTGCAGCCTCAGTCAGTTTGATAGGCATGTTTCTCAGACACATTTATTTCTAGTCGTTCACCCAAAGGATCAACTAGAATATGCACACTTTATACTAGTAATGCCCCAATCACACTTTTTATTTTCTGATAACAATCAGATACCTTGCCTTTGGGTACCTGCCGCTTCAGAGTATTGATCTGATACCAGTGTTAAATTAGTAACCTGTAGTCCTCACGGTGAGGATGAGACTAGGGGACATGTGTAAGGCAGACTTTCTTAACTTTGAAAAACAAAATGAAATAAATACAAACTGTCAAAATTGTTATCATAATCTGCACCATTTGTCTATCACATGCAACAGCATCACTCATCCTCTGCTGTGACAGTAAACCCTTGTTTTGCTTCATTGTTCATGCAAAGAAGCCTAAGCTGGGCACTTTTTTGGCATTTTGAAATCAAGTCTCTGGTGTATGGTCCGAGGGAGTTTAAGCTTGTAGCACCGCACTGTATTGTGTGCAACTCGTGTCCAACCAGTCTACTACAATGGCAACTATAAACATGACAATGGGGAAACATCATAGATCCAGGTATCTGCAGTGAAACTTATATCTTTTTAATCTATGAACTTTGCTGACAAGTGTTCTCATACATTCCAGAGACCGGGCATAGATCCTCAGTAAAATATTGGGGAAACGATATTGTAGTCTAAAGGGTTTTGGCTCTCACACCATCACAACAAGTTAACTGCTTTGGTTCATTTAATTTGCCTTCTTCCACCACCACCCTCGAAACATTAGCTTTGCAGAAATCTAAAAAGAAGCTGTAGAAACTGTTAGGGTAAAAAGCGTGAAACTGCTTAGCTTTTGTTGTTAGCTCCCTCCATGCTATGTTGTCTTGCCGTAACCACAAACTAGCATGGAACTGAATTATATAGATTGGCCCCAAGGATCGGCCCATTGTCACGATACCCCGTCTAACTATTTGAGTCAATATAAGACCAATATCTCATACCAGGATTTGATTGGTGCATCCTTTATAACTCTATTGTAAGTAAAAGTAAGCCAGTTTCTGTAGTTTAACACAGCTTTTCAGGGGAACACGCTCAAGTTATGGCATGGCACAGTTTTATGTGCGTTCTATATACTTTATACTTTCATATGAAAAAGGAAGGTGCACCTGAACATTATTTCAGGTCATGAAGCACAGGTCAGGAGGACTGTGTTACTCCTGAAAAAACAGTCACTAACACACAGTCTCACACACACACACACACCCATAACTTTTGCACAGATCAAGCCCTGTTATAATAATCCCATCTGGGAAAGCCTGGATTCTCAAAAGAGTCCACATGATGCTGTACTGATGAGTTCTTGTCTGTCTGTGTGTGTGTGTGTGTGTGTGTGTGTGTGTGTGTGTGTGTGTGTGTGTGAAAGAGAGAGAGAGAGAGAAGGAAAGGTGCTTAATGTGTCTCAGGTTATATCCTTTTTTTATTTTTTCAACCTATATACCTGCCCAGACACGCACACGCACACACACACACACACACACACACACACACACACACATTCACATAGAGTGAACTCACATCCTGTGGGAGTGTATTTTTAACCCCGGCTGCCTGTGCATTTGCTCAGAGGTTAAAGGCCCGAATGGTGAATCAAGTAAATAATTCACAATAGCTGAAACTCTTTCGATGTAACCCCCAGAATGAAGGGGGGAGGGAGACCAAAGAGACTTAGTTAGATATTGGCACACAATACTCCTATCCAATCGCACTTAACTGTACAGAGTAAAGGGAAACAAGTAGGTCAAAAAGCAATATCAAAGAAAGCATACACGACTGATACAATGCAGGTTTTATAAAACCTGTGCAAATATCTGTACTCTCTGCATATGTACTGTATGTTATTTAGAGTGTGTGTACATCTACAGTACTAACATTTTGCCTATCCTTTGTTTTTTAGGTAAGATGGGACTTTGAAGATCATGACCCAGAAACAAATGGCATAACGACTGGACTCTCCAGGCTAAAGACGAGGAGGCTATTGAGCTGATCTCAGAGGTGACTACCGCTCTCTCCTTTCAAACATAACTGTCCTGCCCTCTTGTTAGATGGGCCATATTTCACAAATTCCCTGCTATGGATCAGCAGTCTGTGCATCCTATTTCTCAGAGAATTCCATATAAAAGTGTCGGTAAGACATTTTGAGTGACATTGCTTCTGTCAAACGGCTGATTGAAGGAGACACAGAGAGAAATGCTGTGCTAATGAAATCGTCTGACCCACATCCTTTAGTGCTATCCATTTCTCCAAAGACACAGAAAGGGCATTTATACAGGTAAACCATGACTGGTCCCTCAAGTGAAGGAAAGGGTTTTTTTTTTTCAGAAGGAAGAGGAGCATCCATTATTCACTATACTGGGGTTGCTAGACACTTAGGAGATAATGCAGTGCTTCAAGCATACAAAACATAGAGCCTCCTTGGTGCTGTGGAGGCCATTGTTGTGTTTTGAACATGTCTGTTTCCATCCATACTGACAGATGAAAAAGAATATGTCTCCCTCAGGTTCAGAAGCATGGACATATATGGATAAAGCAAGAAGGAGAGGATGGGATGGTGGGGAGATGTGTTTGTGTGTGTGTCAGTCATATTTCTGTGCATGTAGGGTATCTATATTTGTGGGTGTATTTCTTGCCCCAAGTCTGTGTTTTTGGCATCTGTATACAGCAGAATATGTCCAAACCCACTCAGTATTAGATTATAGAATGTAAATGAAGTATTCTTACTCATAGTGCGAGCACATGTTTGCACCTGTATGCATTAATGCATGTGAATGCATCAAGTTCCCACTGCACTGAGTCTGTATAAGTAGTCTCTTCCAGCTCAGATAGGCTTCAGTCGAGTCTTATACTCTGCAGATCAGCAGCATCAGTTGTGTCCTCATGGTGAGAGGAAGCATCTGACTGCAGTCCACTGGGAGTAGTTAGCAGAAGGATAGCAAGGCATACAGCTCCTCTTCCAATGTTATCAGACTTAGGGCAACACCAGACTCTACTTTCTGCCTTTGTTAGACAACCCAAGGGAGATTTTGATATGAAATACTTTTTATGTGGATGAGGGAAGACCACTCCCAAAAATGTCAGTATTTTTCTGCATAGATGCGCATTGTGATGGAGAGCATGTGAACTACCAGGATGCATGTTTGCAGATCCACTAAGGTAAAATCGTAGCAGACTGACATCAAAGAATAACCAAAAATTAGATGAGCAACATTTTCAAATATTTGTTTAAGTTAGACATTAATGTGTTGAAAACAATTGTACTTTGATATATCCTACCTATGTTTAGGATAACATTGTCAATGATAAGTTATATAAGCTCTAAAAGTATTTACAGGTTTTTAAATATATATATTATTTAACTTGACACTAAATATCCTGATTTAAAAGGATGACTTGTGTAAGGAATCCTGTAATACTTCCAACTCTATGACATAATTAAATACTGTATAATAATGCAGATGTTAAGTTGTTGAGCTGTAAAGAAGAACTAGAGGTTAGAAAAAAGCAATTCAACACCTTATTAAATGTTAATTAAGCCATTTTTGTTGTCTCTTGTATCTTGTTATTTAAAGTACTTTTATATTTGGTCTTATATAACATAACAAAATACAACACATTTTGATTTGAAGTTAAATTAAGTTATGTTAAATCATCTGCTGTGACATTGGTGACACACACTCTTCACATGCTTTACACCTGAGCAACAAGAGTTGCTGCAACCCCTTCACAACCAGGATCTGATCTTTATGTGTCGCTAATGATCGTCACATTCATCTTTTGATGTAACAGATTATCAAATGAGAGTAAGAAGCAAAGCTCCGGACTCACGTGCGTACAAACACACGCACTGTGGACATCATCCTTATAGAGGCATGAATCTGCAGTGTCAGCAGAGTAGATGAGGAGGATGCGGAGAGGGGCACATGTAGTTTAGTCTAAGATCAGCGTCAGAGGCAGGCAGGCAGGCCAGGCAGTGCAGTGTGTGCCCTTGAGGTGCTGTGAGCAGGCAGAGGTTTGTGCTTGAGTTGTCTGAATCCACCTCCCTTCATCTCTTGGAATTTGGCTGTCGATGGACCAGGGACCTCCTGCCAACCTCCAACTGCTCTGTACTGTCAACCAAACATCAGAGAAAAATTGTGGAAGGAGGTCGCCTAACCAAAACACTATTTTTGTACATTTTCAATTCCTGGAAAAAAAACGGAGATTTGCTGATTTTTAAGAACGTGCTAGGGATGCATTTATTTCACTTATTTTAAGTGTTTGACAATATAAATCAATCAATACATTTTTATTTATAAAATGCCAACTCATACAAAATGTTACGTCAAGACACTTTACAAAAAGAGCAGTTCTAGACCATACTCTCTGTTATATTACTTACAAAGCCCCAACATTGATCCACCATGAGAACAGCACTTGGCAACGTTTAGGAAAGTAACAGTGGCAACAAAAATCTGCCAGGCAGAAACCTCAAACAATAAATTAACAAGTAAATAGATTTAGAATAACCCTTTAGGAAACAGCTCTGTTAAAGACATGGACAAAGAAGTTCCACTGTGGACACCAGTATCAGAAAATGCCTCAAATATCACCATAAAAGCAGATCAGGGATCAGCCAGTACATCAGCCTGTTCATCGATCTAAATACTGTAATATATTAACCCCAAATAAAAGCAGCTCGTTTCACTAGAATCTCTTCTTCACAGTTACAAAAGACAGCACATCAAGCAGCGCTTTACTGAAATCATGCAATCTTGTGTCTTCTATTGTAAACTACAGTTTTAGAGGAGCTGAGAGCTAATTTCTGGCCATGTATCTCATGTCAACAGATAACAACAGAAATGTAGTGGTAGCATAGAATGAAACATTGGTCAGAGATTTGCTCACTTAAGCAAACATCAGAATTTTACCCCTGCTGGTAAACCAGAGCTTTCGCAAAAGTTGGCTAGGTTTGTTTTCAGAAACCTTGCCTGTTTTCTTTAGATATGTATTGCTTTACCTTAAGCTGTTCCTGTAGTTCTAAACAGGGGCTCAAAACTCAAAAAGGTATTTATCTCTCTGGTATTTTAAAAACACTGAATAAAGCAGCTCGAAGTTTAAAAGAAAAATCAAGGTCTCAACCACTCTTATGCAGACACAAGTGAAAGAGATGTGTCAAAATGTCCTCTTGATGGAATTTTTTACTCCAGAATTATATTGTTCTTTTCTCTCTCAGTTGTAACCAAAGTTCTCTGTCATTCACTCTCTGAGGCAGACAATACCAAATGGATAGCAATCATATCATTTCCATGATTGATACTCTGTATGTGACACATTTGTGAAATCAGGTATAGGAATCAGAGATGGAATGGCAAAAAATAATACATAAACACCCCCAGTCATGCAGGGATCCTAACATGACGTGTTGCTCTGCCTTTGTTGTCTGATGCAGACAATGACACCACAGATTGAAGATTTAACTGATCCAGTTAGGCACTCTTACTGTCTCAAATGACCCCAGCTGTTCTGTACAACCTATACATTCATATCAGCCCTCAGAATACCTCCCATGCTTGTCAGCAGGCTTTATAGTTTCGGGGAAATGTAATACCATAATGTCTTTCAGCAGGAAGGGAGTGTCAGGTATGGCAGGAGTAATGGAGGAAGGGCTAGAGGTGCAGGTAACCCAGGTTAGGCAGGGTGTAAAGGGGATCCGATAAGGCGTTCCCTAGACCCTACAGTCTCCCAGTCTCCTCTATGAGAGAATAATAAGCAGCTGTAACCCTGAGACACTCCCAGGCCTGTGTCCTCAGCTACAAAAACCTTCAGCAGGCGTCTTATCAGGTTCTAAGGATATCACGTAAGACAATACATGTGAGAAGTGCAGGGTGAACAATGGGAGGAAAGTGCAGCGTGATATGAGGGGGACCAATGTCAGCGGCTATTGTCGAGGCCTTTGTCACTGTCAAGTACACAGGGAACTCACAGCTCACAGAACTCCTTTCATTCAGGCAACTAGCTTTGGGATGTGATGAAAGTCTACAACAAGGGCTGTCCCTCATGCTTTGGCAATGGTTAAGTGTACACACAGAGGTTACATGTTTAAAAGTGTAACTAGCAGCTTGTTGTTTGACCTCCTTTTACTGGGAACAGTCATCCAGATGACATCCAGTCATCTTTTAAACTTTAGCCTGAGTTGCATATATCATATATCAAACTGTATAGTGGGCTCATGTTTTTTTGTATGGGTGGGATATGTATGTATACATGTGTTGTGTTGTGTGTTTGTATGTATGCTGGCTGCTGGAACACCTACATTTCCCTGCTGGGATGAATAAAGTATATCTTATCTTATCTTATCTTATCATTACCAGTTGTTTTTTTTAATTTGTTTTAGGTTTATTTTGGGGCTTTTATGCCTTTATATTGAGATAGGACAGTAGAGTCCGAAATAGGGGAGAGAGAGAGAGAGTGGGGAACACATGCAGAAAAGGAGCCACAGGTCGGTTTTGAACCCGGGCGCCCGTCAGGAGAACCACAGACTCCATACATGGAGCGTGCATACTAACCACTAGGCTACTAACACCCCAAACCATAGTTTCTTAGTAGATGGGTTTTTTTCAGTTTTGTTATAATGAGCAATACAAGGTCAAAAAATTTGATTTCTGGAATGGTCTTTGACAGGTTTGATAATTTGTATTTTTCTGTTTTTAGGTACACGAGTCCAAACAAGAGAAGAGCCAGAAACAAGACGGGAGCTTCAAGATTTCTATGATTGACATCTCTCTCTACGACACTTGGACCTGCACTGTGCATCATACTTTGTATTTCTGTCAACTGAGAAATAATATGACTTTGCACAAATAAACTTATATATTTATTTTCCTTCATGGATTTCTTCCTTTCTTTTATTGCATCCTCATATGGGATAAAAAAAATGTGGAATGGTGATATTCTGCACATTTACACCTGTATTTATTTCCTGTAATTGATGGAGTCTAACAGAAATATTTTTTGACAGCTAAATAAAAGAATATTTTTCCCCTCAGGTGATGTTTTAGTTGAGTTATTTCCTCCGTATTGAGTGGTGCTTTTGGCACTTCAGGTAAAGAACAATGCGCTTGACATAATTGGGTCCTATTTGGTTATGAGCAGAGCACGCATGCTGATAAAAGCAGGCAAAGTGATCAAAGCAGTGTGCGTCCTGATCAAAATCCTACACCTGACACTGTTGTAGTTATTCCAGACTGACTTAGGAAATGTGGGGAAGCAGATTTCCGACAGTACCCAGAAGCTTCCCTGTTCAAAATCAGCTCCAGTTTACATTTGGGGCTGTTTTCAGTGCAATACTGTCTGTCTGTCAAATCAAAACAACATCAATAAATTACTTCAATTTAAAACTGGAATATTTTTTCACTAAGTTTATTCTTTTGGAAGAAAAACTATTTTCAAATTTGTGACTTCCTTTCAAAGTTTCGCCAAAATTCCATTCAGACTACAACAAAGTGGCTGGAAAAAGTGTACGATCCATAACGTCTTGGACAATATATTTCTTATGGAAAGAAGCTTCATTTGTCTCCCTGTTCTATCTATCATTACTCGCCATTCATCTTCATGTGCCTCTCCATTTTCATTCTCCTTCCTAATCATATTAATTCTCCCTGTCTGTCCTCTGCTTAACATTCATACTGACTATTTTTCTCACGCTTACCCCATCTTCATTTCCTTTACCAGCATCACTCTTCCCCTCTTTTCTACAACCTCTCTTTCAGTCCTGCCTGTCCCCTCCCTTGTCTTCCCCCGCCCTCACCCATTCTACCTACCTTTCTCTTCCTCTCTCCCCCTTGTCTCTCTCCCCCTCTCAGATGTCAGATCACAGTCTAGTCTTCCGCTTGCCCTGTCATCACATTTTTCACACAACCCCATCCCTTAATTGGGCCTGTATCATCATATCATATCATGTAGAATATCTGATCACAGCAAGAGATGAAAGATGGCCTCCACCTATCCCCTCACAGACAGACAGACACACACGTACACTGTAGGCCAACACAAACACATACCGCAGCACAAGTACACTGAGCTACACACGTGTGCTTGTAAGGGCCAGGAACCAGAGCTGATGGCTGTGTCTGTTTACATTTTTACACCTCATGTTTGCACCCACTTGTCAATGTGATTGTTACAGTGTGACAGGTGAGATGGTGTGTATTCCATGATTGTCCAATGATGTTTGTATCAACCGCTAGGTGGCTTTTGTGATGAGACAAAGGATGCCCTGGAGCCAGCAGTGTCACAACTACAGGTAACTGGCAAAGTAAAGGACACATCAACAAAAAAAAAAAAAAGTGTCTCATGAGTGTTAAAATAGCTCCAACATGTCTTTCGATCAACTGGAAGGATGCAACATGAAGTCTTGTGCAGGATATCCAGTCAGTTCTGCTGCAGGCATAAATACTAACAATAAATCACCATCTTAACGTCGAAATACGAGCGTTTGCAATAAACACAGCGCAAAAGTCAGAATTTATCACAATAAATAAGAAAATGTATTTTATTCTAACTCACTCAGCATGTGTACATTTTCACGCTCTCACACAGTTTTTCAGTCAAATTATTCCCAAGCTAGCTGCCAGCTACCCTCAGAGAAATTGCGGTCAATTTAGTGGTTTAAAAAAGGCTTGATTTCTTTTGGAGTCAGAATCATGTTCCAAACAGCTATTGCTAAAGCTAATAGAGAGAGAGAGAGAGGGGGGAATGACATGCAGGACAGGAGGCCAAGGCCGTATTCAAACCTAGGCAACCTGCTTCATGGACTGTATCCTCCATGCATAGGGCGCGTGAACCAACCAGCAGGCCACCGACGCCCCTCTTTGTTGAATTATTAATCAGAGCGTTTAATAAACTGTAAGCCTTTTTCACTTTTCACGGACATGACAAGATACTAATGTGTTTATGTGACACAGTAATACAGTTTTCATCAACATTGATGGCTGGAAAACTCAAAATCATTTCTTGGGTTTTACATACTGAACTAACATAAAACATGACTTTGGATCTTGGCAGATACTTCATCAATAACATGGCTTTATCCTTGAAATAAACTGTGCACTACAGATCAGTTTGTCTGCGGCTGCTGGGTGAATTTTGAGTGAAATCCAACAGAGAGGAATTGAAATGTGCGGATATGAGTAACAGTTTAAACAGGTCTTCCTGGAATCATAATACAGCTACATCAACATCCTTCAGTACGATTGAATTCAGCCAAATGCATTTGGGATCCACAAAGATCTCAGATGGCACTTACATAAGATTAATCTCCTGAAAGCAGCAAAAATCTGTGCAGGAATTTTACTACTGACACAGAGCTTTTAAAAAAAAGAAGCTTTTTATATGAAGGTGTTTTTTGGTACTGGAAACATGACCTTGGTGCCTGCTGGCGAGGAGAAGTGATAGAACAAAACTTGTGAACTCCGTTATGTGTTAGAACTTTTTTGCTCCTTTCTCTGACTCCCCTTTCTTTCTTTTCTTTTTTTTTTTATATACTAGACAGCACAGTATTTCACTTTTATCTACAGATAGCAGGACTTTGTGTTATCTTATTTTGTTTGGGAAAAGATTCTCAAGCACTTTCCGCCCCATGATCCCAAAAGACGACAAGATACAGAAGTTAACAGAACTCCAAGTCTGGAAACTTCACAGTGAGAAAAATGAGGTCTTACTGCAGCTACCTTTGGTGTGTGTTTAACTCTCTGGTTATTTCCTTAAAAAGTCTTAAACAAAGGGCTGTTAGCATATAGTATTACAACAATGTCAAATGGTATTCAAGGATATGAGTAGATGTTTAAAAGCAGCATGTTTCAGATCAGGAGATATATGTGAACCAAAAAAAACATCTTCTGCAGATCAGTGTTTCATCACCCATTTTTGTCTAACGTACCTCATCAGCACCGTCAGGGGAGCTCAAGTTTCCCTTAATCGAAAGATCACATCAGGTTCCAATCATGTTCAGGTGAATGAATTTAAAACTAGATGTTACGTCAAACTATGGACATAAAATAAGTTGACATTGTTTATTCTTTTGTATTCAATTGAACAGTCATTTTTCTCACATTTTGGTTTAAAATCCTTCCACCTTGAGTCCCTTGTGGTGGACCATGAGGGCTACTCACACCAATAAACTCACATCAAATTGAAAGTACAAAAAATGTGTAATGTGCATGATTAGCCGACAAAATAATTAGATGTGGTCCCCCTCACAAATCGGTATCAGAATTATTAGTCGGTAGAACTAATTAATATTTTTATGAATGTAGGCCCACAGTGGAGGTTAAATGTGTCTTAGCTGTAATTCAGCCCCACAAAATTAGCCAGAACTGTAGCCCTGGTTAATGGGCCTGCTCTCCCAGCTTTACTACCTGGATGTTAAGCAGAGTGGACGGATGTCTTCTCTTGGTTTAAAATTTTGATCTACACTGTATCAAAGTATTGATTGTACTGTGTGTAAAAAAAGGTTGATTTATGTCATCATGATCTACACACAATAGAAAAGCTGAATGAGTCTCACTTTGAATGAAAACATTTTGTTAAAGAGATTACATTGTTTAACTTATTGAACATTCCTAAAGGTGAATAATCAATCAATAAAAAAAGTACATTCCACCATAAGAAGCCATTGTTCAATCAATTTCATTTTTTCCTTTATATACAGTAATTCTACTCATTTTAACTGAGTGATGGATAGAAAACCAGTAGTTTTGTGCAAACATATGCAACTCACAAAGTACATGGTTTGACTCAGCATATAGGTCAAAGGCCTTTTTTTCTGTTTTTAGTATCATATAGACCATGGATGGATGTTATCGTCAGAGCAGTGTGGTTTGGTAGTATTCTTGAGCTAGAAAATGGAGATAAAGCTGTATGTAGGCTGTGTCAAGTTGAATCATGCACATAAACACTTGACCGGAGACATGAGTAACCACATTAAGCAGACATGTGGACGTTGACTTGCAAGGAAGGCCAAAGGCTGCTGGTGCTAGCAGTGCAACATAGCAACACTCAGCAAACTAATTTGACATTGTGACGTCTAACCCCACCCGCTGAAATCCCACTCTGTGTGAAAAGACAACAACAGCCATCCACTTCAACAGTAATAAATTGTGCAGTTTTATGAATGTAGTATTTATCTGTAGAATAGTGGACTAGTCTAAATTAAATTCAGACTACTTCACTGACTTGGAAATTAGTCCGTATGAACATCCCTAATATGTTATATCTGGAACACATGTATCTGCACATGGCAAACTTGGTTTTGGAGCATTTTCAGGTTGTGCAGTCCCGTTATATTCCAATTGAATCGTTTCATATTTGCAGCATGCACGTGTAAAATATGGTACATTTAAAAAAGAAACATGTAAGGGAGAGGCTATTCATACATCATTTTTAAAATTGTAATTTCTACTTTTTTTTTAATCAGTAAACTCCCAAATATCCCCTGCACCAACATAAAACTGCACCATATTAGGAATTCAAACCCCTGGTTGGGAATCACATAGCTGGTCTCTGCATCTCATAGGAGATTGCGTCTCATGTACTGTAGCAGGTTAAAAAGTCTTGGCGATCGCATTTCTCCGACTCCTACTCGTGGAATCACATCGGCCTGCCATCACCCACTGCCGTGACTTGCTGAGACAGCCTTGTTGAAGTTGCAGACGGACAGAACATGTCTCCTCCAACATGTTGTGTGAATGTACATTTGTTTGTGTGCAAGAGTGCAACATGCTTGTGAACGTGTGGGTCTCCTCTCTGTGCTCAGTCGAGAGTGATTGATTTTGAAGTGTAGAATCTTGACAGAGTGTTCGGCTATCCCAGGAGGCACGAGACCA